TCTCCTACTTTGATTAAAGTTGTTCTTAGTTCTAGAGGTGTGTGTTCAAGTTTATGATAATTTTGGAGACTATTGAATGTTTTATTTTAATTACTCTGCAGCCTTTCTGGTATTAATTCTACCCACAGCGATATAAAATTATGTCTTTATTTTTGGCAATAAAGCATTTTTTAGATGCCAAGTTATAATTGCTGTAATTTGATGATACATTTTCTCTTTGGGCAGCATGATAAGGATGTATAGGATTCCCATAATGTATGACACGTTTCTAAAAATATCATTTTAATGTAATTTTTCTGAGGAAAAACTGCACATAAATGACAATTGTTTCTCTTTTGGACACTTTCTGTAGCTCAATAGATTTTATCTATATTTAATCTCTATTCAGTTTGGATGTATTTTACTGTATTTACATGTAAATACTGTGGTTAATAGTGTGGTTTATGTGATGTGGCTGCTGTAACACTGCAGCTTTCCTTTGGGTTCAACAAAATAATCAATCTGTTTATCGAAGCAACATAAAGAAGAAGTGAAGTTTGCATTAAGATTTTTTTTAAACACTGAGAGGTGCAGTTTAGGCTCCTTTGCTTTTCTTCTCTTTAATACACTGAGGTCAACATTTACAATCGGAGCAGAGTGAACAAGAAACATTTGAGTGTTTGGAATGTTGTAATTGTTTCATATAAACTGATGTTTGTATTCACAGGTGCTGCTCCAAAGCCATCGGTCACAATACTTGATCAAACACAGAATTCAGCGCTGCTGCAGTGTGAAGTTCTGGGTGCTTCTCCAAAACCTGAAGTTGTCTGGAAGGACGGTGATGGAAAGATTCTTACTGCTGATGAACCAAAGGTCACAGAAAAAGGAGGAAACAAATACGACACTGTCCTCAATATTACTGTGACCAAGACTGACCATTACACCTGTGTGGCCACACAGGACAGTATTCACCATCAGAGCAATCGTACAATCTTTGTGCGTTTGAATGGTGAGTAGTATTTTCAAATAACTGTATTGATTCATGTGTCACTAATGTTCAAAAATGTGAATTTGTGCTCAGACTGAACAAACATTTGACTAGAAATAAGGCAAAAATGAACTGTGTTCAGTCTGAATTCAGCTCATTAATTATTTTCTTTGGGATTATTCTGGACTTTATGATCTGAACATACATGATGCACAGTTACAGTCTGATGACGTTCTGAGTTTCAGAGAAAACATCTGGAATCGTTGAATAAGAACCTTCATCCAGTTAAAACATTGTTCTGATCACTGA